AATACAGAAATGGCTACAATCATACATTGACAAAGAACTTCCAGAGGTTCAAGCTGATTCAGAAGAGGCCATGGAACGAGGGATATCATTGCTGATATCTGATGGATGTTGGCTGAAAGCAGAGAATATCAGAAAGATGTTTACCTGTGCTTTATTGACTACGCAAAGGCTTTCGATTGTGTGATCATGACAAACTATGGACAACATTGTGAAGCGTGAGTATTCCGGAACACTTAATTGTGCTCATGAGGAGTCTGTACCTGGACCAAGAGGCAGTTGTTCAAACAGAACATGGGAACATTGAATGTTTTAAAATTAATAAAGGTGTTCGACAAGGTTGTATTCTTTCACCATACTTATTCAACCTGTATGCTGAGCAAATAATCCGATAACCTGGGTTATATGAAGAAAAACGTGGCATCAGAATTAGAGGAAGGCTCATTAACAATCTGCTATATGCAGATGATACAACCTTGCTTGCTGAAAGTGAAGAGGACTTAAAACAGTTGTTGTTAAGTGCCATCAAGTCGGTTCCGACTAATAGCGACCCTGTATAGGGTTTCCAAGGAGCAACTGGTGAGCTTGAACTACCAGCCTTGCAGTTCAAACAGCTTTGCAGTCTGGCGCATTAACCCACAGCGCCACACCAGGACTCCTTTATATAACAGTAGTCTCATACAATATTTGTCCTTTCATGCTTGATTAATTTCACTCAGTAAAACATCCTCCAGATTCATCCATGTTGTGAGATGTTTCATGGATTCATTATTATTATTTCTCACTGCATAGTATTCCCTTGTCTGTATGTACCATAGTTTGTTTATCCATTCATCTGTTGATGGACTTTTAGATTGTGAATAATGTTAGGATGAACCTGGCTGTGTGTATGTCTATTCATGTCAGAGTTCTTGTGTCTCTAGCATAAGGAGTGAGATTGCTGGATCATATGGTATTTCTATTTCTAGTCTTTGAGGAAGCATCATACTACTTTCCATAGTCATTGTATCATTTTGCAGTCCCACCAGCACTCGCTTGGGTAAGCTGAATTCACGAAACATCTCACAACAGGGATGATTCTGCAGGACATTATGCTGAGTGAAATCAGTCAAACATGAAAGGACAGATATTGTATGAGACCACTATTTTAAACAGACCATTGTTTTAAAAGTCAAGAACAAGTTGACACACAAAAAGAAACAATTTTTAATGGTTACTAGGGAGAAGTTGCTCTGGTAGCGTAGTGGTTACGAATCGGGCTGCGAACCTTAAGGTCAGTGGTTCGAAACTACCAGCCGCTCCGCGGGAGAAAGATGAGGCTTTCTACTCCCGTAAGGATTTACACCCTCGGAAACCCTGTACAGTGTCGCTATGGGTCGGAACCGACTCAACAGCACTTAACAACAACAACAACAGGGAGAAGTTGAGTGAGCGAAAACACTAACTAGATATTACAAAGTTCCAATCGCCCTACAGCCTGGCTAACATATGTTGTTTTCTCTTATTTTTGATCAGCATCATTATTGCTGGAGTGAGAAGGTATGTGATTGCAATTTGAAGAGCCTTGGAAATCCTATACAGGGTCACTATGAGTCAGAACTTGATGGCACTTAACAACAATGGCTAATAAAGGAAGCCCTGGTAACATTGCAGGCTAGGTGCTGGGTTGTTAACCCACTAGTGAAGGCAGGGTTGGAGTTTCAAACCCACTAACTTCCAGCAGGAGAAAAATGAGTCTGTAAACATTTTTTTCATAAATGAAATTTTTATGTATGAAGTGTCGGCATTGTTTTTGTTGGGTAGATGTCTTGGATAATCCATTCAAAGATGCTCATTTAGTCCACCTTGATGAAACCTCTATCCTTCGTGTACTGACGGAAGCACTGGCGGCACATGTTGTATTGAAGTCTTATTTCTGGGTCAGACTGTGTGGGTTTGAGCATACATATCAAGAGTGGGAACTCTGGCCGAATTTTCATAGGTGATTCCAGTAGAGTTGCTGGTGACCCATCCATCCTGCTTTGAGGAATGGACTAAACAAAAGGCCGCAAAGATTTATAATCTCAGAAACATTGAGTCAAAATTGACTGATGGCTGTGGGTAAAAGTTAATGATAGCATCTTTTCATGTGTTTATTAGCCACCTGAATGTCTTCTTTGGTGAAGTGTCTTGTTCATGTTCTTTGGCCAATTTTAAATCAGAAGTGTTAAAGTTTTGTATACATTTTAGAGACTGTTTCAATTTGGTTAAGCTGAGAAGGAATCCCCACCCTACAGAGCTCTAAATAAGAGTTGGATGAAACTGTGTTCCCCCAAAACATGTATCAATATGGCTGGGTCATGACTCTCAGTAAGTCGTTGGGTAGTTATGTGATGATTTCCCATGATGTTAAAGCCATCCATTTGTGATATTTCTCTTGTAGCTGTAGTAGATAACTTAGACACTCTCTAAGGGTTTTTGAAGAAAAAAAAAAACTTCACCCCTCATCTCCATCCCTAGAGGGCAAGTTCATGGATGGTGAGTGAATGATGAAAAGGAATTGTTTGACTTTGAGGCTCAAGAGCTTTTCCATTATCTCCCATGGATGTGTCTGAGAAAGTTGATGGACCAGGTGGGATCTGATCAGAACTTGACAGATGGCACTTGTCTTCGTGGAGAGAGGGGAGGAAAGAGGTACATCAGGCAAATGCCACTAACTATAAACTAGTGGTGGTTGTGACTGTGTGCCACCGAGCCAGTTCCAACTCATAGTGACCCTGTATAGGGTTTTCAAGGCTGTAAATATTTAGGGGAGCAGAAAGCCTCTTCTTAGCCCCTTGGAGTGGCTGGTAGATTGGAACTGCTGGTCTTGTGGTTAGCAGCTCAGTTTGTAATCCATGATGCTAGCAGGACTCCTTTATAAACTTGTAGGGATGATATTAGTACCAACCTCATTGGGTTGTGGTAAAAATAAATGAGGAAGTCCCTATAAAACTCTTAACACAGCGCCTAGCACTTGTAAGTGCACAATAAATGTTTGCTATTATGATCTCTTAGTAGTTTGTAGGTGCTTCTATTTCCCCTCATTTCATTGTGTGTGTGTGTCTGTCTGTCTGTCTGTCTGTCTCTCTTTATGCAGGGAGACCTGATAGGCAGGAGCCCTCTTTGTGATGTGCATATACCTATCTGGGCTTGCCCAGCCAGACGCCAAGGATTCAGTAGATACCTGTAGAATTGACTAAGGGCAGAATGAGAAGGAAATAATTAAGGAGAGAGAAAGAAAGAGGCAAAGGGAAGGGATGGAAAGATGGGAAAGGAAAGAAGAGAGAAGCAGAGGTGTGGGCAGCAAGGGATGGAAGTAAGAAAAGAGAGAAATTGTTTCTCCTAAGAAATGCTGTTCCTTTCTTGATTCCTTTTAGGAAAAATACAACAAAATCTTCAATGACAAAAGACCTGATAGTAATCTCAGGTCCACTATGACCTTTCCTTTCCTAGTTTAAGTAATAATCTGTTTGAACTACTCATGTACCCTATCCTCTAAGGATTCTGTCATGCCTTTTCCATTCATGTTGTCCATTGTATGTGTATTGTCCTTGAGTATACAGACTTTCATCTCTGACAGCCCGCGTTTCTTAAACCACAAAGTCATTCATCCCTCATTCCTACTCATGATCAAGGCTAAGGAGGCAAGGTTGTATAATACAGGGAACACTAGTTCTGAAGAACTTGCTAAATTACTCTTGGTTCTATGTGATCTTGAGAAAGTCTTTAACTTCTGTGAGCCTCAGTTTCCTCATAGAAATAATCTTAGGACAATATGTGGGCCACAGCCCAGGAAAAGAAGAGCCTCACACAGAGAAGTAAGACTTACAGGTTTTAATGCCTTGTGATCAGTAACAGAGCAGTCTGGAGAGAATCTGTTCTGATTTTAGAAGCATTTCCTGTGGACAATGGAAGGCCCTGCCTCATCATATTCGGGCTTGCTGATCCACATCTGCTGGAAGGTGGAGAGAGAAGCCAGGATGGAGCCTCCGATCCAGACAGAATACTTCCGTTCTGGGGGAGCAATAATCTGCAAAGACCAAATGTGATGGAACATGATCAGTCCCTGAGAGAATCGGGAAGGTGGCCCAAAAGTCATCCCACCAATCTGCCCTGTGGAAAGGACAGCCTCCGTGGTCAGAAGCAACAAGATAAACATTATGGTAGATTAGATCATTGCTCAAAACTTCACTATATGCCCATCCCCAATCTCCAAGCCCTCCACAGAGTGTGCTGCTCTACCCTGTGATTTTAGGCTGAACTGTGTATTTGCTTTGGCTGATGGGCTGTTAGCAGACACGGCCCTAGCAAGAACTTGACATATGCTTATGCAATTGGACATGCTCTCTTGCTTCCCCTTCATAATGAGCCATGGGAACCTGACTTGAGCTAACTGGACCTGAAATCTGAAGCAAAACTACCTAGTCGTGCTGGGGCCCCATCAGCTGACTCACAGCTGGCCAACAGGTGTGTGAGAATCGATGCTTAATGTTATGTACCACTCGTCTCCAAAAGTCCTCGGCACAAATCTTGCTTTGGTTGGGATGTTGTTCATGAACACATACCTCCTGTACTTTTGCTTGTGCACCCCTACCCATAATGATTTTCCCTCTCCTTTTGCTTAGGTTGCCCTTGCATTGCTCATGGCTACTAATTAGATCCAAAACTCCTGGAAGGACTTGATTCAATTGAGTTCATGTTTAACTCAGAGCAATGACTCTTGAACTGGGATATGGACCAAATCATTGTTCATTTATCACTGTAGGTAATGGGGCACCTGAGACCCACTGAATCAAAATCTGGGAGTGGCTAGGTGTAGTATCCTGACACACATGGTCCCAGTAAAAACCCCTGTCCTACATGTGGCAGGCCCCAGTCATTGAAGCCACTCCAGTGGCTCTGGGGTAAGAAGGGCCCACGTATATCACTGTTCCTGAATGGTCTGGCATCATCTAACTAGCACCATCTGCTAGTTAAGGGTAAGGTCTGGGATAGCCCTCCTTTGTGAAGAAGGTCCTCAGATTGCTGGCATAGAGAATACACATCCTCAGATTAAGCCAGAGACCAAATTACTGTGAGACTTTGGAACTTTCAACCTATTTGCTACTTCTACTCCCAACTCTTTTTTAAATCTGCTACAAAGTTCCTTGAAGCCTTAAAAAAGTCGATTGCTTGAGGAGTAGAGGCAGGGGGAGAAGCGCTCACTTCTGCCAAGCCAACAAAGTGAGGAAACCTGGTGAGAAGCAGTATGGAGAGGGCAGGAGTCAAGACTGAGTAGTAGACCAGATGTTGTCCTGAAATCAAGTAATGTCCCTGTAGGTTTGACTCCGCAGTTGGCCTTACGGCTAAACGTTCCCTTGTTGGACCTTTCACCTTCCTCTGGGCTAACACCCATGTTCCTTTTAAAGATGTTGTTATGTTGGCTCCTTCTTTTCTTCCCCTCCTTTCCCCCCTTGTTGATTTTCTCCTTACCAGTTTCATATTCTCCTCATCCCAAATTATTCTAGCCTCTTCTTGCATGACATTCATGTAATTATGTTTGAGAGCTCATCAGTTCCCAAGGAACATTATACCCCTTTCTCTTGACCAGGATAACACTCAACACAGATAACCATTAAGTGTCTGGGCCTGTGACAAGACCCACCTTGATCTTCATGGTGCTGGGGGCTAGGGCTGTGATCTCCTTCTGCATCCTGTCAGCAATGCCGGGGTACATGGTGGTTCCCCCAGACAGGACGTTGTTGGCATATAAATCCTTACGGATGTCGATGTCACACTTCATGATGGAATTGTAGGTTGTTTCATGAATTCCAGCTGACTCCATGCCTAGTGAAGACCACAGAGTCTAGTCAGCAATGCCCCACCTCCACCTCCTCCAACAGTCCTTCTCTTACTGTAACTACCTTTTAGCTTAGACTCTCAACCACCTCCCAAATGGATTAGATCAGGCCTCCTAATTGGCCATGGCCCTGCCTGTTCTGAGTGAGCTTTCACACAGATGCCAGATGTCTATTTCTTAAAGAACGCTGTCATCATATTATTTTGTTTTGTTTTACAACTCTATTGAGATATAATTCACATACCATAAAATTCACTCTTTTAAAAAGTATATGATTCCATGGTTCTTAGTAGATTCACAGAGTTGTGTAACCACTATCACAGTCTAATTTTAGAATATTTTCAACAGATCAGACACTCCCCATTCCCCCTCCACCCGACCCCAACTCCTGGCAACCACCCATCTACTGTCTGTGTTGCTGTTAAGTGCCATCAAGTAGATTTACCTAATTTGCATATTCCATACAGGGTCATTATGAGTTGGAATTGACTTGACAGCAGTGGGTTTTTGGGTTGAGATATTCCACATAAGTGGAAACATATTTCATGTGGTCTTTTGTGATTGGCTCCTTTCACTTAGCATGATGTTTTCAAGGTTCATCAATACCAAAAGGCATTCTTTCCTTTGCCAAATAATGTCACATTGTATGGAGATACCCATTACATCATCTTCGACATTTCTCCATTGTCTCAGATTGACATTAACCTGCTACTGAGATCTCTCAAAGAAAAGACCTGTATGTCAAACTAGCTCATGTTCACCTATCTCCCAATCTTGTTTACCTGAAATAGAATTCCACACTGTAGATAGGGGACTCTTCTTAAAGTACAAACCTGACCTTGCCATACTGTTACCTAAAAACTTTGGGTGAGCCTAATGCTGATATGAATAACCTCACACTCTGTGTGGTCCATCTCCTGCAGTTCTTCCAGTTACCCCTGTGTAGCCCATTGAATGATTTAAAATCACCCCTCTACGCTTTTTTTTTTATGATAAAAGTGTCAAATTTTTAATTTAATATATATTTTCTTTCTATCCCTCTATGCTTTTGCACATTCTGTTCCCACTGCTTTGCATACCATTCCCCACTCATTTCTCCTTCCATCAGCAGATCCCATAAAGTAGCATTCTTCAAGGTTTTGTTCAATGTGCATCTTCTCAAGGAGCCTTGTCAGATTTCTTAGACTTAGACCACTTTGTCCAGGTTGCTGTTTATCACTTACTACCCTGTATGTGAAGTCCTGGTGTGGTGCTGTAAGATAAGCACTGGACCATAAGGTCAGTTTAAACCACAAAGACGGTGGCTCAAATCCACCAGTTGCTCCTTGGAAACCCTATACAGGGTATTGAAAAAAAAAAATTCAAGCTGCACTGAAGGCACTGGTGAAAAAGAAGCCTCCAGGAATTGATGGAGTACGAATTGAAATCTTTCAACAAACTGATGCAGGAGTGAAGGTGCATACTAGTCAAAGTCAAGAAATTTGGAAGATAGCTACCTGGCCAACTGACTATAAAAGATACATATATCTCTTGTGGAAATCATTGAAAAAATATCATTAATATCACATGCAAGTAAAAAAAAAAATTTTTTTTAAACAGAGAACAACATTTATTAATAGTTACCAAAAGCAACATGGAGGTGGGAGGGAACGTGAGTTAATGGTGATAGAACTATCACATTGATTAAGGGTAGGGGGGCATAGATGATTGTTGTAATTGCTGTCAAAGAGTTGTACACCTTTAAAAAGTAGAATTGGCCAAAGTGTCATAAATGTATTTACAACAACGACAAATAAAGAATATAGCTGCTGTGGCTACTTATGTACAAAGTCTCATGGGATTTGGTTTCTTGATTTGGAGGTTTAGGGACATGTTTTGATTGGACAGTCCTATGAAATGGCTTGATAACATGTTTAGTGCTTCTGTTCTACTTCCTAGTTTCGTGTGTAGTGCCTGGGGTATTAGAAACTTGCAGGCAATCATCCAAGGCATAACAAGGTGAAGGGGAGTAGAGAAAAGGAGGAAGAGACAAGGTGTGTGGTTAATTGCTTCCATGAACAACTGCCCCCTTAGCTATGAGACTGCAAGAACTAGATGGTGCCAAATGATTATCACTGAACATTTTGATCAAAGATCCCAGAGAAGAATTCTGATCAAAACGAAGAAAATGCAGAACAGAATTTCAGATACTCATCTGAAAAGACTGCAGACTTCCTGGAGCCATGATCATTGAATGAACCCCTAACACTATTTCCCTTGTTGTTGTTGTCATTAAGTGCCATCAAGTCGGTTCCGACCCATCAGCTACCCTGTATAGGGTTTCCAAGAAGCAACTGGTGAGTTTGAACCTCCGACCTTGCAGTTCAAACTGACTTTGCAGTCCAGTGAATTAACCCACAGTGTCACACCAGGACTCCAAAGACTTGCCCTAGAGAATCTTTAAACCTTGAACCAAAAATATCCCTTGAAGGCAAGTAAAATTTTGCTGAAGATAATTAAAAAATGATTGCAGAAATACATCAACAGGGAGATACCAGAAATACAAGCTGGATTCAGAAGAGGATGTGGAGCAAGAGAGATCACTGCTGAGATCAGATTGATCCTAGCTGAAAAGGCATTTGATGTGTGGGTCATAGAAAACTATGGATAACATTGATAAGAATGGGAATTCCACAATACTTAATTGTGCTGATGGGAGACCTGGTGTGGCACTGTGGGTTAATGTACTGGACTGCAAAGTCATTTGAACCACAAGATCGGTGGTTCAAGCTCACCAACTGCTCCTTGGAAACTCTATACAGGGCCACTATGGGTCGGAGCAGACTCGAAGGCACTTAATAACAACAAGAATTGTGCTCATGAGGGACCTGTGCATAGAACAAGAAGCAGCCATTCAAACAGAACAAGGGCACAATGAATGGTTTAAAATCAGGAAGGGTGTGCACCAGGGTTGTATTTTTCCATTATTCTTATTCAGTTTATATGCTGAGGAAATAATCCCAAAAGTCAGATAATATGAAGAAGAATGTGGCATCAGGATTGGAGGAAGACTCATTAACAATCTATGATATGCAGATGCTAACAACTTCCTTGTTGAGAGTGAAGAGGACTTAAAACACTGACTGATGAAGATCAAAGACTATAGCCTTCAGAATGGATCGCACCTCAGTGTAAAGAAAACAAAAGTCCTCACAACGGGACCAATACATAACATCATGACAAATGGAGAAAAGATTGATGTTTTCAAAGACTGTATTTTGCTTGGATGCACTCGTGGGAGCAGCCGTCAAGACGTCAAATGATACTGCATTAGGCAAATTTGCTGCAAAAGACCTTTTCCAAGCATTAAAGAGCAAACATACCAGTTTGAAGACTAAGGTACACCAGAGCCAAGCCATGGTATTTTCAATTGCCTCATATGCATCTGAAAGCTGGACAATCAATAAGAAAGACTAGGAGAATTGAGGCATTTGAGTTATGGTGTTGGGGAAGAATACTGAAAGTATCAGGGACTGTCAGAAGAACAAATAAATCTGTCTTGGACGAATGTTCCTTAGAAGTCAGTATGGCAAGATATCCCTTGTACTTTGGACATGTTATCAGGAGCTGTCAGTCCCTGGAGAAAGACATCATACTTGGTAAAGTGGAGGGTCAGAGAGAAAGAGGTAGATCCTCAATGAGATAGATTGACACAGTGGCAGCAAAAATGGACTCACCACAGTGTGAGCATGACTCAACACTAAGCAATTCTTTTGTGTATGGGGTCACTATGAGTCAGACTTAACTCAGCAGCACCTAACAACAACAGTTGCTCCCAAACCCACTACACAATTCAGCCTCTCTGACCTACATGGTAAATTACACAATTTCCTTGATGTGTTCTCATTCTTAGTTTCATCTTCTATTTCCTGCCCTGCTCTTCTTTCTATTTTGATTTCCTTACTCTTTTATTAGAGTTTATATATTTTTGCCCCTTCCTAGAAAGGGTACACATAAACAATAAACAAAGTATATTCAACTCCTGGTTTATCTCTTTCTGTAGCTCACCCACCATTCTATGGGCAGCACTCACCAATAAAGGAAGGCTGGAAGAGGGTCTCAGGGCAGCGGAAACGCTCATTGCCAATGGTGATGACTTGCCCATCAGGCAGTTCATAGCTCTTCTCCAGGGAGGATGAGGAGGCTGCTGTGGCCATTTCATTCTCAAAATCTAGGGCCACATAACACAACTTTTCCTTGATGTCTCGGACAATTTCTCGCTCAGCTGGAAGGAGAAGAAGTGATAGCAAGTGACCACTCAGTTCTGTTGGTTTATTGTCCATGTTTATAAAAACTGCCATCTCACAACTATTTTGATAAATTGCCCCTGATGAAGATCAAGGATCTCACCACATCATGTTAACTTATCCATTTCTGTTTCTAAAGTAGAAGTTCAAAATCATGATTTCCAATTTCCAAAAGCTTTGTATAGACTTTCCCCCTTGTTCTCACTCCTCTGCCCTGACAAAGTTCTGGGCCTTCCAGTCTAGAAATAGGTCTAGGCATATTGTGCTATCACAGAATCTAGGAAGGCTCTGGTCTTGGTGTGGACGTGGTCCTGGGGAGGGAGAAGCTGATGTGAAAGGAGATGGAGAGGAGACCTCTGCTGAGAGCTGCTTAGCTGAACTAGGCCTTGTCCCTCACCCAGGTAGTCTTGCTTGGGAGCCCTCGTCTTTTAACAAGGTTGCCTTGACTATCTGGTCTTTTCCAGAGGCCCAGCCCAACTCAGGGCCTCCCAGTCTAACCCAAGAGTGTTTAAGGACACAGGGCAACAGAATTCCATTAGTCCTGAGTGTTTCTAGTCCTGCATGAGATTTGGTTCTGAGCTCAGACTGGAATCAGGAAAGGGCTGGATACCTGTGGTCACAAAGGAGTAGCCTCTCTCTGTGAGGATCTTCATGAGGTAGTCCGTGAGGTCGCGGCCAGCCAGATCAAGGCGCATGATGGCATGGGGCAGTGCGTAGCCTTCATAGATGGGGACGTTGTGGGTGACACCATCCCCTGAATCCAGGACAATGCCTAAAGACAGGAGTAGAACCTATAGAAGCTGCATTCTTGTCTTTCATTTGTCTCTAGAATTAGTCATCAAATGATCTTTGACTATCACATCTTTCTGTAGCTGCTAAGGAAATTCAGCCTCCATGAGGATTTATGTATATCAATCTTGTCTCCCTAATGCAACTTTGGGCTTTAGGAGGGCACACAAAATGTGTCCTCTTATTATATCCTTTGAAACACTTTCACATTAATGTATACTTGTGGATATGCATTAAAGCAAGATTACACACTCTTTAAGTGCACATGGCTAGTTCGCATGTCCTTTATGCATCAAATTTACACATTGTTGTTGTTAATTGCCATCAAGTTGGTTCCAACTCATAGCAACCCTGTGTAGGGTTTCTGAGGAACAGCTGGTGCGTTTGAACCGTGAGCTTGTGGTTTAAACTGGCCTTGAGGTCAAGTGCTTATCCTAAGGTACCACACCATGACTCCAATGACTGGGTTACTGTTGTTGTTAAGTGCTGTTGAGTCAGTTCCGACACATAGAGACCCTATATAGGGTTTCTGAGGAGCACTTTGTAAGTCTGAACTACCATACGTATGGTTCAAAAGGACCTTGCAGTCCAGTGTTATTAACCCACAGTGCTTTACCAGGACTCCCATGACTAGGTTGTTGTTGTTGTGAAGTGCCGTCAAGTTGGTTCTGACCCATAGTGACCCTGTATAGGGTTTTCGAGGAGCAGCTGTTGAGCTTGAACTGCCGACTTTGCAGTTCAAACGGCTTTGTAGTCTGGCGCATTAACCCACAGTGCCACAGCAGTCCTACCCATGACTGGGTAGGACTATGCAATTGGGAGGTGCTTGCAGTCCACCAAGGGGATTGGATACTTACTGATAATATGAATAAGGGCATGGCACCTTTATGGTGGTGGGATCATGCAAATAAGGTGAGTGAAACCTTAATGTGGGGATTGGTCAGTTTTGTCATCCCGCAAAGTTTAAAATTAATCATCACAGAGGTGGAAAGGAGGATCTCACTACCATCAAGAAAGAAGACCCAGGAGTGGAGCATATCCTTTGGACCCAAGGTCCTCATGCGGAACCTCTGTGATCCAAGAAACAGAGAACTGTGACATCAGGGAATGAGAGAAGCAGCAGCAGAAGCAACAGAATGAAAAGATTGTCATCAGACAGAGCAATAGGCTTCCTGGCTCAGAGAGCAAGAAAACTAAGCAGAGGCTTACTGGCAGTAGGAGGTGCCTCTAGGCACTGAATCCACAGAGCCAGAAGAGCTCTATGACACTTGCCTCAGCAGGGCAGAGACCAGACTAAGGGGCTCAAGGGCGAGAGAGAGACCTGCCTTCAGGTACAGCTTAGGGGAGGCTGTCTGATCGATGAACTGTATCCTGAATTGTAACCTTGAAAACCCTCTATAAGGACACTGTGTGTCAGAACTGAGTACATGGCATTTAACAAAAATAAAACCAAAAACATTCCTCAATAAACCCCACAATTGTGAATATTGTACATGAGTTCTATGGCCATTGTAATGAATTACCACACTCCGCAGAAAAGTAGAGAGTGCTACAGAGGGACAATTGGTGTCAAAATTGGTAAAAAGTTCATAGGAATCAGTTCTGGGGGGTTTATCTTGATTCTCATTCTCGCTAGTGAAATTAGAGGAGATCAGATACCTCTGCTATGCCATTCTTACATAAACCAATGCAATGGGATGGAAAACAGAGATAGAAGGTGTTGCTATCAAAAGGAGATAGAATTGTCAATAGTTTCAGATGACGTGGCTATATACCTAGAAGACTAAAGAGAATCAACTGAGAAATCATTGTTTTTGTAGTTACGTGCCGTCAAGTCAGTTCTGAATCATAGCGACCCTACGTAGCATTTCTGAGAAGTGTCTGGTGGGTTTGAAGCATCAACCTTGTGGTTAGCAGTCTAGTGCTTATCCTGCAGCACTACACCAGGAGAAACCATTAGAGCTAATAAAATGATTGGTAGGGTCCAGATGCAAAATAAATATACAGGAACCAGTAGCTTACACTTGTACAAAGATCTAGATCACAGCATATTTTATAATTGGAGACAATACATAAAAATAAATAAATTAAGGAGTCATCACTACTATGCGACCCTTAAACCTGATGTTTACAGCATAAAATCAAGTGTAAAGGGCAGGATTCAAAACACTATATACTGTAAGTTTCCTTATAACTGTCCTTAGCATTTACAGTGAAATTGCTATTGTCTTTCCCCTGCTAAACTGTTAGTTCCTTAAGAGTAGAGTCTGTTTTATTTATTTGAATACAGTCATGACCTGATGTGGTATTTGACACATGACAGGGAGTTGTAGAAAGTATCTGATGGATGGATTGGTGAATAATCACTATATGAATAAAAGGGTATTTGAACAATGTTTAAGGAAGCTCCCAAGACCCTATAGAAATCAGTTTAATATAAATTCTGTCTCCCTGTGCATCCTCCTGTAGCAAACCTCCTGCACACATCCCAGAATGACTACTGTGAGAGAAGATGTACTGTTATTGTTGCTGTAGTTGTTAGCTATTGTCAAGTTGGCCCCTAATTCATGGAAATCCCATGCACAATGGAATGACACGCTGCCCAACCCTGCATCATTCCCATGATGCCATTGTGGTTCATAGAATTTTTCATTGGCTGATTTTCAGTAGAGCTCCAGGCCTCTCTTTGTAGTCCATCTTAATCTTAAAGCTCCATTGAGATCCGCTCAGCATCAGAGCAATGCACAGGCCTCCACGGACAGACAGCGGTGGTTGAGCCTGAGGTGCACTGGCTAGAATGGAAGCCACATATCCCACATGACAGACAAGAATTCTATTCATTATGGTTTTTGTGAAAATATATTCTAGCTACACTGATAGACTCATATCTGCATTCCACATGGGTCTTTCCATCTGTTATCCCTAAGCAAGATTGTTCCTGAACTTTGGTTGTCCCTTCTTTTCAGAACAGGGAAGAAATCCCTCTGCAGGAAGCCAGTTCTTTCCTACTCCTCCTGGTGCCAGAAAAACAGTGGGTTACAGGGCTGCTTACCTGTTGTACGTCCAGAGGCATAGAGAGAGAGCACAGCTTGAATGGCAACATACATGGCAGGGACGTTGAAGGTTTCAAACATGATCTGAAAGGACAATGCAGAAGAAAGGAATATCTGGCACAAATCACAGCATCTCTAGGCCTATATAATTGTTTGTATCTTATTAAGGGCTGGTACTGTGCCTATTTTTAAAAAATTCTTATCCTACCCTCACCCTCTACAGAGCCTGCCATACACTACATATATAGCAGGTCCTCAAAAACTTCTGTTGCACTGGGTATGAATGGGAGGAAGGGCCCAGATTTATGTTGCTTCTTACGCCAATGTCCACGTCTTCCTGGCATCTTACCTGCGTCATCTTCTCCCTGTTAGCCTTGGGATTTAGGGGAGCCTCAGTGAGCAGGGTGGGATGTTCCTCAGGTGCTACCCGCAGCTCATTGTAGAAGGAATGGTGCCAGATCTGGTTGAGAAAAAACGCAGATGAGCCCAGCAGACTGTCAATGGGCTGGGAAATTCTGGTTACAAGCCTTTGCTGTCAGAGTATGGCAGGATGGTGCGCAGAATGCCAATGTCAACCTGAGAACTTCTCACTGGCATTAGAAGTTCGCAACAAGACCCCAGACAGGGCTCAGACCTCATTGTATGTGTTGGTTATGTCCATCTGACCTTTCCCTTTCCTCCCCTGCTTTGTGTCCTGGGGCTCAGGTCTATTGCATTACTCCGCATCCCCCTACTTCCGGCTGTATTTGGTAGATGGAAGATACCAGCAAGAGATTGAAGGATATTGTTCCTGGCAATGTTGTGACCCTCCATTGGCATAGCTACTGTTGGGCATGAAGGTTCTAGCACTCACTGAGCCCCAGTGACACTGCTCCTTAAGGCTTAGTGGTGTAGCAGTTTCCCACTGGTGCAAGTACTTGGTAAATTCAGCATCTCTTTCTGGTTGACTTAATCTTGCTTCACCTGTTCAAAATTTTGTAAGTAGCCCTTCTCCATTCAACTTCAAAATCCCAGTTGAATGTTTACCTGATGGGTATGCTTGGGCTTGGTTTTCAGTTTTTATTACTGACTGAGCTGGTGATTTAGAACAAGATTTCCTTCCACCTCAAGCACCACTGATGTTACAAGCTGCATAATTCTTGGTTGGGTAAGTGCTGTCTGGTTCTGCACATTGTAAAGTGTTCGGCGATAGCCCTGACTTTTCTGTCCACTAAGATGCCTAGTAGTTCCTTTCCATGTGTGACAATAAAAAATGTCCCCAGACACCATGAAATGCCCTCCGTGAGGCAAAACTGGTTGAGAATCAATGCTCTAGAGAGTTAGTTCTCCCCACAGGGTCCCTGGGTGGTGCAAACAGCACACTCAGCTATGAACCCAAGTCTTGAAGATTTGAGCCCATTCAAAGGCACCCTAGTAGAAAGGTCTGGTGATCTACCTCTGAAAAACCAGCCACTGGACTTTGAATACACATGAATCAGATGACTGCACGGCAACTGTTGTTTTTTGTTGTTAGTTTTTGTGTTGTTGTTGTTTTTCTCTTTTTGTCTCCATGAGACCTGTTCTCTCTTCAGTGATTCAAGACAACCAAGTGGGAGTTTTTATTTTTTATCTTAGAGGGATTCAGCAGTGAACAGAAGGGACATTGTTGTTGTTGCTAAGTGCCACTGAGTCACAGCAACCTTGTATATGGTTTCCAAGGAGCCATTGGTAGATTTAAACTGTGAACCATATGGTTAAAAGTCCAGTGCTTATCCCACAGCACTACACCAGATAGGGGCACAAGGCTATGCTTTCATTGAAAGTGGGGTACATATAATCTGATTCCTTTGTACTTATCATATTTATGCACCTTAGCTTTGGGTTAGGATGGTGCCAAGTATGATAAGGACAGATATTAGTCAGACTAGGTCCCTGGTTCTTTGTTCCAAAGCCCAGAGGGAAGAAAGACAGGCAAAAAACAAAATGCAAAGACAATGTAAGTAAAGGAAAAGGCAGAGGCAGTTAATTGTGTGGGGGATTTGAGTGATGTATTGGTTTGACTTTTTTGGTGAAGACAAAGGAAGGTCTTCATGGCTGAGAAGGGTATCTGAGTCAGAGGAAATGGCACACAAGCAAAGACCCTAGACTGGGACAGTTTCACAGTAGCAGGAGAAAAAAAAGGAATTAGTCTTGATGACTAGTATTTATTTCTTAATGTGGTTCACAGATGCCTTGCATTGAAATCACCTGGGGAACTGTTACAGGTGCTAGTTCTGAGCGAGGCTGTATCCGAGAGCCACTGAATCAGAATCCTTGGGTGTTTGGCCCAAGCCTCTGCATTTAATTCTAGTTTGTTTTTTGGAATTTTTCTAAAGTCTCTTAAAAGTTAAAGATGCCAATGATTGAAAAATTAGATGAATTACTTAAAAAAGGAATTAAAATCTCCCAAGTTCCCACCATCTAATAACAAATTGCCAATATTTTGTCTTTTGTCTTCTTTCTAATCTTTTTGTATATTTGTTGTTGTTGTTGTTGTTAATTGCCATTGAGTTGGTTCCGACCCATAGTGACCCTGTATAGGTTTTCTGAAGAGCAGCTGGTAAGCTTGAACTGCCGAACTTGCAGTTCAAAGGCTTTGCAATCTGGCACATTACTTCACAGCGCCACACCAGGACTCCTTTTTGTGTATTACTTGCATTTATTTTGGTATCTTTATGTTCAAATTTGTTTGGGGCTACTTTTCAATTAATATAACAAATTATTTTTCTTATCATTGTAAATAATTTATCAAGTCAAACAAGTGCTTATTTTGAATATGTGCACAACATTTCATCATATACTGTAATATATTTAATCACCTGATATCTTCAAGTTTTGTGTTTTGATAATCTTATGACAGATATAAGGAGCTCTGGTAGACTAGTGGTTATGAGTCTGGCTGCTAACCTCAAGGTCAGGAGTTCAAAACTACGAGTCATTCCACGTGAGGAAGAGGAGACTTTCTGTTCCAGTAAAGATTTACAGCTTTGGAAACACTATGCAGGGTAGCCATAAGTCAGAACCAACACCACCACCATGGTGCATACCTTTGTGCATTTTATATTTTCTTTTTGGATATTTAGGATGTTCTCTAAAGAAAAGAATCCTAGAAGTAGATATACTGGGCTCAAGGGCATGAGAATTGGAAGACATTTTTATTTCCATTACTAATTAAAAGGCTAAATTGATTTTTACGTACAGAAGAAGAAAGTGTTTATTTTACCCCACCTTCACCTGCATTCAGTATTTCACCCTTAAATATGAAAAATAAAATAAAATAAAAATTGATAGGTCAAAGTAATACCTGGCTGTTTTACTTTGAATATTTAAAGTTGTTTCAAGGGAGTCTAAATGTTTTCACCTTTGCAACTTTTTTTAAGTTCTTTTAGGCAAATTGTTCAAGCCCTTTGCTTATTTGCCTGAAGGAGACTTTGTGTTTTTAAGGATCAATTTGCATCAGCTGCTAACTGAAGGTTGTCTGTTTGAACCCATTTAACTGCCTAGGCCACAGTCAGAAACCCCTAGGGCGCTCAGTTCTACTCTACAACAAACACCTGGGGGCACCAGGAGTCTGGCTTGCCTTGATTTTTCTTCTTTACTTTTCATTTGTATTAACCCTTCATTGCATTTATTGTGAATATTGTTTGCAATTTGTTTTTCTTTTAAATATAGTTTTCCTGTTTACATACTAGAAGTTGATTTTAAGAACAAATTGTCATTCTTTTTCTCTGTGACTTCTTTCATGAGAAACTTGATAAATATTCATATTTGAATTTTCATATTTAACTTTTATAGTTGCTTGATGTGTGTTTGGTGAGATGGTATCATTCAGAGTTATAAATAAAGATTCCTCTTCCCCCAAATCATTAATTGGCTGTCTCAGAAAAATTCATTGAATAATTCTTTTTTTTCCCTCAAGTGCTGGAAAGTTTCTTTATTCTGCATTTTGTCTTTACCTTTGTGCTGTTGCCAAGTCACTTTAGTTTGACAACTCTATGTTATATTCCTGGGGCATGGTGGCTCCATATGATAAGCACTGGACTGTGAACTCCACAAGACTTTCTGCTCTGTGAAGATTTAAAGTCTGTCTCAGAACCCATAAACAGGGCTGCCATGCGTCGGGACCAACTCAAAGGCATTGAACAACAATGTAATACTCTAGGAGCTCTGATGACACCATGGGTTAAGTAGTGACTGCTAACTAAAAAGTTGATGATTCAAACCCCCCAGCCACTCCAAGGGAGAAAGCAGCAGCTGTCTGCTCCCATATAGATTTATAATCTTGGAAACCTTATGTAGCAATTCTACTCTGTTCTAAATGGCTGCGGAATCAATTTGATGGCAGTGGGTTTTTATGCTATATTCTAATATTTGGAAATGGAAACTCTCCCTTCATATTTTTCCTTATTCATTTTGTTCTGAAAAGTTTGCCTATTTATTCCTTCAAACATGTTTTAGAATGATTTTGCCTAATTAAAGATTATATTGGAATAGCAATGAATATACATTTATTTTATCAGTTTTCCTTTTAAGGTGCATAATATGTATTTTAGGGGTTTCGTTAGAGATTTACACACTATTATTACTGTGAATAAAATATTTTGTCTATTATATTTTTGTATTAGCTATTATTAGATCTAAGGAGCTTTGGTAGAGTAGTGATTACAAGCTGGGTTGATAACCTCAAGGCCAACAATTTGAAACCACCAGCTGTTTCAAAGGAGAAAGATGAGGCTTTTTGCTCCTGTAAAAGTTTATAGCCTCGGAAACCCTGTGAGTCAGAACTGACTCCTTGGGACACCACCGCCACTATTGTTAAATATATACTCATAATATGTGTCATTTCTTGAGCATTAAGTATATTCCATACCTTGAGGTTATACCTAATTTAATTGTCAAAGCAATCTAAGGAAAGAAAAATTATTATCTCTCTTCACAAATTGGAAACTAAGTGTTAAGTTTGATTAGCTCAAATGGCAGAGGGGGAGTTTTCAGTCATGTCTCTAGAGTCCTTTTTCCTAACCAGTCCACTATGTGATGTGAACACTAACGTATTTTACATAGTTCTCACACATCTAGAACAACTGAATCAAGGATTTGGAAAAAAGTAGATATGAATTATGGATTTCAAATCGAGTTTCAATTCCCAGATGAAGTCTGCTCAATAAACCCTCTATTTAAAGTTTCAGAACACAGACATGCCAGAAACAATAATGCTCAGACAACCTGCAGCTAAATTTAGCAAAAGACTATGAGAAAAGCTCCATTAGCATTTTGCAGACATTATTTTGTTTATTGCAAACTCCACCATTTAAAAATAAACCCCTCTGCATTTTCTTATGCAAAAGAAGCTTCCAGAAATTTCTAGATATTTTTATGTGTTATTTTCTTTAGCTAGTCATCAAAATGATATAGCATCAATGCACCTATCTGAGGTCCTGATGAGGAAATTAAAAGACAGTCTAGGCTGGTTAACTTCTCCCAAGGCAGCATATGGGGATTTTAAAACTGCTCCCTGGGTGAGATTTCTGAAAGTTGGGATAGGACCACCACTGGGCTAGAATGGGGTGCTGGGTGAAAGGAAGAAACTGGGAATTAGGCAGGGCCAGGTCCTGAGGACACCATGTTAAGAACTTACTTTTGGGATAAGATTCTTATGATTCAATAGTGAGTAATTGTTATCATGACTAATTGCAACTGTCACAATTGTAAAGATAGAAGTTTTGTAACAAAATGGGGGAGCAGTTATCTTACAGTCCAAAAAAAGAGGACCCTAAGAACATCAAGTGAAGCAGGGACACCAGAAATGGAAGCAGAGATGGGGACATGGAAACAGGGAGCCGCTGAGGACTCTAGATTCAAGGGAAGAGAGGGACTAAAAGATAGTGGCCAGGAGGCAAACTTGCAGAATGTGCCCTTTGGTGGTGTAAATGACTATATATGCCTGAGTGTTTAAAAAAAAAAAAAAGAGCTAAAGTGAATAGAGAGAAATACTGTTAAGTGATGGTACATGGAGGGCATTGTAATCATTGTGATGAAACAAGTTGTATGATTTGTTGAATGTAAAACTGATGATCTGCCCTGTAAACTTTCACTCAATCCACAATAAAAACTAAAAAAAAGAACTTACAGTTTGCTGGTGAGGAGCTACTGAAGAGTCCTGAGGAGTCCAGTGACATGATCTGATCTATTTCTAGAAAGATAAGCTTTGCAGGAGTGTGTAGGTGGCTGAGGGCACAACTGATGAAGGGAAAACAGCCAGGAAGGCTTTGGAATAGGCCAGCTGTGAGATGCTGGCCACCTGTGAGACAATGTCCATAGGGATGGAAAGGAAGGAAGGAAGGATTTGAGAAACATTTCAGAGATAAGAGTTGGCAGGGCAAAGGGGCCTATGGGATATTAAAGTCATTAGGATGCAAGATCATTGAAATAAGCACTTTAAAGGGGAGTCCACTGATACCTTCTCCATGTCATCCCAGTTGGTGATGATGCCATGCTCGATGGGATATTTGAGAGTTAGGATCCCGCGCTTGCTCTGAGCTTCATCCCCAACGTAGCTGTCTTTCTGGCCCATTCCCACCATTACACCCTGCAATGCAAAGGGAAGGAAAGAGGCATGACTTGGTGGAGGGCTGCTCACACAGGGACATGACATGTGTGTGTGTGTGTGTGGGGGGGGGGGGTGTCTCTGAAGAAGAATGAAGATAAGAAAAGGAGTCTGTCCTCTAGAGGTAAGGATGGGGCAGATGCCCACAACCATGGGAGTGGTAGGAAGAAGAGGAGGTTTCTCTCATCTAAGACAATGTCCAGCCATACATTTCTATCCCTCCCCTCACTAAACACACATAGGACTTGAATTTGCCTTCCAGAAATAACCTGTGCTTGTACTTTTATATCTCCAAATCTTTGCTCCTGCTGTTTCTCCACCTGCTGTGATACTCCTTCTCAGTTATCCCTTTGTTCAGGAAGCTTTCCCTCAGTTCAGACTTAATCCCCCTCCTTTGTGCTCCCATTGTGAAATCGGTCCCTTTTATTTCAGCCAATGATTTCAAGTTAGTTGTATGGTATCTTCACAGAGTATAAATGTCTAAAGATAAGGGGCTTAATTGCATACATTTTATATATATATATATTCCAAAAACTGACATAATGTCCTTATTAGTCTGCCTGAAGGATATTGTTTTTGGTCCTAGATATTTTGCTTTAAAGGGTCCTGCTCTATTAATCATAACAGAGAGTTCTTACCCCCAATACACACACACACACACACACAGACAGACAGACATACATGGCTCAGCAGAGTCCCTATGCACCATGCTTACTCCTAGTAGCTCAAAACCTTGGATCTGGAGACACATACCTGGAGGATCTGGATAGACACATACCTGGTGGCGTGGGCGACCCACAATGGATGGGAAAACGGCCCGGGGGGCATCATCTCCGGCAAAACCAGCCTTGCACAGGCCAGAGCCATTGTCGCACACGAGTGCAGTGGTCTCCTCTTCACACATGGTGAGTGTGGCCGAGCAAACAAGCTGGGGTACCTTGGGGGCAGGAGAGAAAAGCACTAGTCAGTTATTTGTCAGAATCTGGTTTTCTTTGGCTTTATGTTCCAGCTCCCCGTGCCCAGTTCCAGGAGGAACCAGTCTGAGTCTGGTCTCCAAGTCTCTGTAAGTTCATCGTCCCTGCCTCTGTTAGGTACTATCAAGTTGGTTCTGACTCATAGCAACTCTATAGGGTTTCCAAGGAGGACTGTTGGGTTGAAACTATGGACTTTGCCTGGTGCATATCCTATGGCACCACACCAGGACTCCAGTCTCTTAAAGATCTGAAATGGCTGCAAAACTTTAATCCAATGGAAAGAGTGTAATATACATAACAAAGGATAAGAATTTACATTATAAAAAGAATGTCTGAATCAATAATAAAGAACTAAACAGCCCCAGAAGAAAACTATGAATGGATAATTGACAAGGAAGGAAACAAAAATATCCAACAATTAATTAAAAATATCCTCAGCCAAGGAGCTCTGGTAGCGTAGTGGTTATGAATTGGGCTGCTAACCTCAAGGTTGGCAGTTCGAAACTACCAGCTGTTCTGCGGGAGAAAGATAAGGCTTTCTGCTCCCGTAAAGATTTACAGCCATGGAAACCCTGTACAGGGTCGCTATGAGTCAGAACCCGGGCTCCATGGTACTTAACAACAGTAACAATGCCCAGCCTGGCTAGGTGTCAAGTAAGTGCAAATTAAATAAGGCCATCTCATTCCATCTTAAAATGAAAGGTTTTAGAACAGGTGTTGGCAAAGGGGAAAACCGGAGAAACAACACATACAGTGTTGTTGTTGTTAAGTGTCATCAAGTCAGTTCTGACTCGATAGTGACACTGTATAGGGTTTCTAAGTGACTAGTGGATTTGAACTGCAAACCTTATGGCAATGCTTATCCTACAGCACCACACTGCTACTCAAGTATCAAATTATGGAATACTGTACACACTGCAGTTAGGAGAAAAACAAGGAAGATCTATGTGAATGAATGTGGGCAGATTTCTAATAGATTCTGCTGAATGAAAAAGCAAATTGTGGAATAGAATTTATAGTACAAAACTATATAAGTGAGTTATTTCTAAAGCACAAAACAATGATATATGTTTTCCATAGTTTTCTATTTGTGGATTGAAACCCATAGCAAAAAGTTTCCAGGATCCATACCAAAGGGATCTTAGTGATTACCTCTTGCTGTTGTTAGGTGCCATCAAGTCAGTACCAACTCAGTGACCCGACCTTCTGCACAACAGAACAAGACACTGCCTGGTCCTGTGCCATCCTCACAATTGTTGTTACACTTGAGCCCACTGTGGCGGCCACTGTGCCAATCCATCTCATTTGGGTCTTCCTATTTTTCGATGACCCTTCACTTTACCAAGCATGATGTCCTTCTCTAGGGACTGGTCCCTCCTGACCATGTGTCCGAAGTATGAAAGATGGAGTCTGGCCATCCTGGCTCCTAAGGCGCACTCTGGCTATAAGTCTTTCAGCACAGATTTGTTTGTTCTTTTGGAGGCCAATGGTAATTTTGAATATTCTCCTCCAACACCATAGCTCAAATGCCTCCAGGTATGGGGAAAGGGGCTGGTAGAGGAGGTATAGGGTTATAGCTATAATGTTTTAATTTTTACAAGGAGACGGTATTCAAGAGTTTATGTAATTAAAAATAAATAAAATAACAAAACCTGTTATTGAGGGGAAAAGAAGGAGCAGCTGTAGATGAAGTGTGCAGCCCCAAGGAGAAGCACACTGAAGGGGAGCAAATAGGTCTCTGAGGAAAATACGCATTCTGACATGCTAATGTCTGAATTGGGACAAATGCAAAGTAATGCAGAAGTTCATTTTTCCAACATCTGTTGCAGGGTTGTATGGCGCTGTAGGATAAGCACTGAACCATAAGATCAGTTTGAATGGCAAGGTTGACAGTTCAAACCCACCAGCCACTCCTTGGAAACCCTACACAGGGTTGCTATGCATCAGAACCAACTTGGCAGCACTTAACAACAGCAACAATAGTTGCAAGTTTAAGCTAAAAGACAAACATCTGACAAGGTTTGGTGCTTGGTGATGAAGTAGCAGCAACAGAACCACAGGAGACAGCACGGAGAGATTGAGTCCCAGCCTGAGAGTCTGGATGCGGGGAGAGAACACAGGAAAAGCCCAGCAGAGAGGAGTTGGGAAGTCTGACTTCAAAAGTCCAGAGGAAAGAGAAGGATTGTGAAAGAGGAAGGTCTAACAAAGCTTCATTCATGTATGCCACAGGTGGTTCTGCCAAGGAAAGAGGAGATACTGAAACCTGTAATGCAAAAGATGGTCCTCAAAGACCCTGACCCAAGCCAGCGATGAAACAGTCAGTGCCACATGCTTGCCTCTGAATTGGTGTCAAAAAACCCAGGAAGACAATGAGAAGACGTATAATCACAAAATTCTAAGTGTAAAAGGTCACTCTTTCCATTGTGTTCAAAGCAGGATGCATACTAGGGAGAGGCCTCTGATGACTGGATTGTTGAAGCTCATGTCCCTTCCTCATCCCCCATAGCCATGACGATCAAGTCTTAGCCCTTGACCATGGCCCACGGGCCCAGCAATGTCTGATGGGCCTGCATCTCTAGACTCACCTTCCCTCTTGCTCTCTCTTGGTCCTCTCACTCTGACGTGTTGTGTTGCTCTCCATTCTCTGAATTGTTCCATCTATTTTTTTTTAATTTTTCCTTCTGGACTTTTAGATCTGGTCTCTCCCTCACCCCACCTGTTTGCCAGACTAAATCCAACCACTCCTTGGGTCTCTGCATCAACACAGCTTCTTCGTGAGTCCTCTCTGGTCCACCAGTTTCTGTTAGTAGATCCTTTTCTTTGCTCCAACAGCACCTTAAACTTCTCCCAGAGCAACAATCACCTCTGCTGATTAAGGTTCCTCAGTAGCTCCGTGAAGGCAGGGGCTGGAGCTGTCTTTTTCCCCAGCGATTTCCCAGTGTGCCTAACAAAAAGCTTGGCAAATGTTTGCTATCAAAATAAATGAGTGAAGGTAAAATGGATGGCAAGGAGAAAGATTTTCAGACTGAAGAATGTAAGAGGAAATCAAAGTCTGAGATGAGTTAGTGATTGAAGGAAAGCACCTAGTTTCTCAAAATAATACTCTCTGGATTTGAACAGTTCTAAGATTGCAAAGAAGACACCTAACCTCCTCTCATATTGGCTGCATGGGGAAGTGGAGTGATGCAGAAGGCTGGACATAGCCAAATACTCCAGTATTCAAAATAGCAAAGGATTGTCTTAACACCTTAGATAATCTTGATATGCAAGTTGGGCAAGATTCCAGAAAACATTATTATAATATATTAAAGATGTCATACACACCAACCCAAACCACCAAACCCACTGCCATCAAATTGATACTGACTCATAACAACCGTAAATAGGACAGAGTAGAACTGCTTCACTGGGTTTGCGAGACATCAATCTTCACAGGAGTAGACAGTCTCATCTTTCTCCCTTGGAACCTACCTGGTGGTTATCAGCTCACAGCACCGCTAGGGTTCCCTGAGATACACACATCCCACACACACACATATATTAACACCCAGGATAAGAAGTATTGCTATGTTATAACTGGAGTTCTGGTTTGGCACTGTAGGATAAGCACTGCACTGCTAACTGCAAGATCTGCAGCTCAAACCCATCAGTCATTTCTCGGAAACCCTAAACAGGGCTGCTGTGAGTTGGAACCAACTTATTGGCACTTAACAACAACAAGAAAAATGTTTTAACTGTTAAGTATTCACCTAACAAATGATAAAGTAATACCCCCTCAGGGGTCCAGGGGAAGGTGGGAGACAATTGCTTCAGCACAGGATCTAACAAGTTTTCCCTTGATATTTCCATGGATAAAGTCACGTGGGCTGAGCAATAATACTGTTGTTAAGTGCTGTTGAGTCAGTTTTGACTCATAGTAACCCTGTATAGGGTTTCTGAGGCGTGGCTGGTGGGTTTGAACCACCAACCATGTGATTAGCAGTCCAGTGCTTATCCTACAGTGCCATACCACTATATAATTGGATATATTTGCATTTTGTTGAGTTGCTGTAACTAAGAGGTGCTAATTAGTAGATCAGTGTCAACCTATAGGCAGTGATATGCTTCAGGTCTCACTCTTGATCCTTCCTTATGTGACATTTTAATTAATGACTTGGATGAAAATATAGGACATATGCTAGTTGAATTTCCAGATAAAGGCATCTCCTGCTTTTCAAAAGTTTGTTTTATGTCACTTCCCCCCACCCACTTTTTTTTTTCAACTTTTTATTGTGAATTGACTGAAGGTTTACAGACAAGATCATCAGTTTTATATTCAGCAAACAATATACTTTGTTTCATCTCAATGATTGCAATCCCCTCCATGGAACAACAGTTATCTCATTTCCTCCCCGAAGTTCTTATTTCCCTTCTACCCACCTTCTCATCCCTTCTTGCCACTGTCCTTGGTCCAGTTGCCCCTTTGATTTTGAATAACTGACTGTTCCACCATTCATAGTAACCATATCTTACTAGTGTTCTTGTCCTCTCTATATACCTGTCTACTGTTTGGATCAAAGAGACTGTGCTCCTTTCCAGACCTGAAAGGTGGTCGAGGGCCACAGTCTCAGGTTCCTCCAGTCTATTTCTGACCAGTAAGCCCGGTCTTTTAAAATAATTTTTAGTTTTGTTTCATATTTTCTCCTACTCTATCCAGGACCTTCCAATATGATCCCTTTCAGAGCAGTTAGTAACAGTAGCTGAGTAACTAGTAGCTGGGCATCTAGTTCTTCTGGTCTCAGGGTAATGGAGACTGACGTTCACATGTTCCATTAGTCCATTGGACTAGTTTATCCCAAGCATCTTCAATTCCCATCATTCTTCTTTCTTCCATACATGGAGATACCAATAACTGCACCCTAGATGGCCGCTCAAGAACTTTTAGTATCCCAGATGCTAATCACCAAAGTAGGAT